CCCCAAAACCCCAAAACCCCAAAACCCCAAAACCCCGATGATAAGGATATATTAGCATTAAGTCTATAATTCAAATGAGAAGTTAAAATATTTTTTCAAAGTAGATTAAATATTTCTCAAGCATTGGGAGCGATTTAACAAAATCATTAAGCATTAATGAGTCTCTCCTCTTCTTGAACTGCCTTTCTGTTATCAATATAACTGAATGCTACTTGACAAGATTCATTAACTATCTAATCTGGGTGATTCACAAATTATTCCAAAAGACTCTTGTCATCAATCATATCACCGAGACTTACTAGGACTTCATGTCTTACGATAGGTGCTTCCTCTTCATTAGCTACACAGTCTATCAAAAATGGAATAGACACCTTGAAGACCTCTTCCATCTATGCCAGAATAAAGGCTACTTCATGCTTTAAAAGTGCGCTGCATTTCTTCGAATTTTCCTTTGTCATACACTAGCACATTGCAATCACTGCCTCTTCAGTATTTAATTCTCTCAAAGTAAAGAGTGCTCTATATCTCTCAAACAGATCGTAGTTTTCATTATCTAAAATTATAGATTCTAGCAGCTAAATGTCCTTGTACTTTGGCTCTCGAACAAAATTGAAAGGTGGTGCTGGGTCATTAGTTGTGTTAAATTTGAGTTTGCTTAAGTTCAATCCCTCAGTCTTTCCATTCTCTGTTTTTTCTCTCCATTCAACTAATTTGATAGTGAGGAAGCAAGTCTCATAGAGAATTTCCGATGTTTCATTCTCAAATCTCTTAAGCAACTTTAAAGTATTTTCTGAGTTGATATTTCCAAGAGCCTCAACAGCTTCATGAAGTACAATCTTAGGATGATCTTCGTCTAATACTTTTTCTAAGAAATTTTGAATTTTTTCAATGTGCTCAGGTGATTTATCCATTTAGCCTAGTGCGTAGCAAATTTCATGCTTAAGTAGTTCGCTGCTTTATTCAATCTCGAAAGCCCTGAAAAGAGCATCTAAACACTCAAGAGAAGATACAGTTCTTAAACACCATAAAGAGCTCACTCTCTTTGGGATAGGCAGAGTTAAATCTTAGAGTGTAGCTGCGTATTCAGAAACTTTATCGTGGTCAATCCAGATCATACCTGAGTATTTTAGAATTAATATAAATATTATTTAATTTAATTTAATAGATGATCAATATTTATCTATTAATTCTCAAGTCTATAATTAAAACAATTTTTATGCATGGGGTTTTGGGGTTTTGGGGTTTTGGGG